GTGGATCGGCTCCGACAGCTGGGGGTCCAAGAACAGTCCCATCCATCAGCTGGAGGAAGCAGCTGTCGGAGCTATCACCATCCTGCCGAAGAGGGCCACCATCAGCGGTGAGTTCATCACCAAGGAGCTCCTGAACTGTTAAACAATTGTCCTCACTGAGGATCTCCATGTTGAGATGCTGAATTAAAATCATCATAGTTTTCTTCACTGAGGTCATTTCCTCATGAGAGTCTCAGAGCAGATCCTTAGGAACACCAGACCAGACGTTTAACTCTACTGGGGTTTTTCTGGATTTTCAGTTGGTTCTATGATAAATCAATCAGGAGCTGGTTTGGTTCCTTCAGATGATCCCAGAGCAGGAAGATCACTGGACTGGTCTCATTGTTTCCACAAACACATGTGAATATCCCCAGTTTAATTTATAAACTCTGCTTCAAACAACATTGAATGTTTATGAATGCAGGACTCCTGGTCAGAACTTGGATGAAAAATAGCAAACTGGAACTGTTAAAGGTTCTATTCTGGTCTCACAAATTAGCTTTTGAAACACAGAATCAATAAAGTATTCCCGGAACAGATCCTTGGGGAACACCAGGCCGAAGTGTTTGCTTTCCGCACTAATTAGTCTTCAAATGTAGCACTTGATGATCCACATTTAAGGACCTGCAGAAGATGCAGATGTTATCAGTTTACAAACCCAGGAAGTGTTTCAAACGTCTCCATGCTTTACTGTTCACCGATTCTTCTTCATGTCGATTAAGATCATGTCCTTTAATGAAGGCAGTAGCCTGAAGCATGTGGATCAGTACTGGGTCTGTTGTCTAAAGATGAGACTCTAAATGATATGAAGAGGTTTTTCATCAGAGATGATTCTTCTGTTTCTTTAGAGTTTCTGTGAAGTTTGCTCCAGTTTTCTGCTCGTGTTAGCTGTCTAATGAAATGGACCTCATGAGCCGGCTCATCGGCTCCTTTCTTTTTCCCCCTGTTGTGTTCCTCCTGACATGCTCTCTTCTCTGCTGCTCCTCCAACGTTTCCCGCCTCCTGAATAAGCAGAACTGCTGGAAAACTGAATCAGCAGTGGGAACATCAACTCCGGGTTTCCTGTGAAACTAAATTGCACACGACTCTTTTGATGCTGATTATGTGTCATCATTATTCCGCCTCCATCAGCACTGCTGCGTCTGCAGGAAGCACACATGGATGGGTTATTTTTAATCAACTTCCACGGAAAAGTTTGATTTTTATTGTTGACATTTCCACCAAGGAAGAAGAATTAATTTAAATTTGTGTTTAAATAAATTATGATAGGCTCCAGCACAGCTTTTATTTAGACCAAGCTCTGTTTTAACCTTTAACTCAATCAGGACATATTTGAATGAAGTGACATTTCAGAGCGTTACAGATGAGCAGACAGAAGAACAAAGAAGAAATGTGCTGCAGGTCAGTTAAAGGTCTTCATTAGGTCTAACTCGGTAGGAAACAGGAATTTTGGGGAGAAAGCTGAAGGTCCTCCAGTGCATCACAGAGAAACTCAGCACTGCTAACCTTTTTACAGACATAATGATTAAAGATTTAAAGAAAAGGCTAAAAGACTCCGACTCAGAAAAACTACTTGATGACTTTTTTGACATTTAAAGGGAAGTTATTTGCCTGGAGTTAAAACCATCCAGGCATGTTTTCTGGATCTGTGAGGTTGGTTTTAGGTTCAGCATCGAAGGCTGAGCAGAGGGATGTTGCACCCAGTTGGGTTTATAAATCTGAAGCAAACGCTTGTTTTTCTCTGACATGCTAAGAAACAGCTGAAGCATTAAAAGATCTGCAGAAGATGTGAAGCTTCTCTGCCCATCTGCACCTCTCATAACATGCGGAACGTTTAGTGGGACCAACTGAGGTGGTGGTTTGGGTGATTTTAACTTTGAAATGCTTCGCTTTTAATATGCGGCTATCTGGGTTCACCAAATTAGCTCTGAATGTATCTGAAATATGACACAAACTAGTCATCTGATTGGCTGCAGCATGTCAGAAAGATCAGTAATGTGGTGCTTTATTTTACTCTCAGTTTGTGAAATTATTCTGTATTTATGTTTCATTATTTCTCATCTTTTATTTCCCTTCCTTTAATTGTTTAAATCAGAATCAGCTTTATTGCCAGGTTTGTTCAGATTAACAAGGAATTTGACTCCAGTACACTTTGCTCTCAATAATAAAGAATATCTTTTTAAATGTACATATAAACACAATTGACTTTCCAACAGAATATAATGTGGGATCAGTCCAATCATGCATGGTGTTGTTCTGGAGCTCTGACTGTCAAGAGTTCATCAGAGAAACAGCCTGGAGGAAGAAACTGTCTCTGTGGAGGCTTGTTTTAGCAGACAGTGCTCTGTAGCGCCACCTGAAGGTAAAAGTCTAAACAGTTTGTGTGGAGGGTGTGTGGGGTCTGCAGAGATGTTAGCTGCCCTTTTCCTGACCCTTGACCTGTATAAGTCCTGGATGGAGGGAAAGTCAGCCCTGATTATTCGTTGCAGTCTGGACCTGTCCTGTTTCATGGATGATCCACGGGATTTTGAATGTTTGAGTTGCAATCAATAATCATAATTTTTCATTTAAGTTAATTTGTTGATTGGCACCTTATTGAGGTGGAATTTAAAATACATATTTTAATCATAACCTACCTCTTCATTAGAAGACTGAGATTACCCTAAACTTGACTCCTAAAGCTGGGTTACATACTCGTTTACAAAGTTGGAGAAAGAAACCCTAACATCATCTTCATCATCCTATTGCTGAATGAAGGTTTAATGAAGGCTCAGTTATGAACAAATGTTTGGTTAATATTAAACCAACATTTTCCATAATTAATGAATGAGAATAAAATAATCGAAAGGTTTCACAGCAGAATAATTCTGATAACAAATGTTTTACTGTTGATTAGTTATGATGATTTCAAACTAATGGATCATTTATCATAATCTCCTTTAGTTTCATGAAGCAGCAGCTTTCCTCAACTCTGCTACGAAGATCCTTCCAGATCTTTCCTGAAGCAGTCCTGACTTCCCAGTGAGACCAGGGGACATGGGTGGATGAGGACTTCTTCAGTGAAACCTGCTTCCTGTCCCATGTGACAGATGGTCATTTTATCTTCAGATGTTTCCTGTCTGTTTCAGCTGATTGTCCTGAATGGACACATTTATCCATGTTCAGTCCAACAAGCAACGGGACACTAACGTCCAAATGGAGACAAATGAAACCTCAGTCTGATTAATGGATTCTGAAGTTTTCTGACATGAAATCAGAAGCTGAACCTTCAGAGGTCAATCAGTGACACCACCTTCACACTGGATGAAGACCTGACTACACTCATCACAACCATCTTCCATGAGACCTCCTCCTGCATCCTCACCATGATTTACACCTCAGCAGCAGGTTCTCATGATGATCCTGCCACATCCAGCCATGCCCCGAGCTACAGACATGCAGCACATGCCTGCTGACCATGTTGCTCCCACCACAGGCTCCAGGAAGCTCCACAGGACACTCATGACAAGGAGCAGCTTTATCATCAGCATGAAAGGATGCAGGTAAAGATGATTTCTGTACAGAAGCTCGACCACATGTACACTTCTTCATTCCTCAGCAGGAGGGAGTGAGATGAAAACAAGGGGTTCTTGCTTTGCATCCAGGAGGTGAATAAAGGCCAGCGGAATGACACAGTTTTAATCTGTGCATGGAAAGAATGGATTGGTCATTGCAGCATGTAACATCTATGTGGCCCAGGGAATCGCAATACCTTACGTGGAGTGCTGTCTGTGTATTATGATCATGCTGGGGTCTAGTCATGAGGCCAGTGTGGCCAATTTAGCTGCAGATTGTTCATGACGAAAACATGTTGGTGTGCACAGGACCCAGGTCACTGACCCCTAGTTTCCTATGAAAGTTTTGTACAAACCCTTAACAACCCATCACATCTACTAGGAAGCACACTGTATACCTCAAACACTCTGAAGACCCCACAAACACCCTGCAGCATTCTCCTTCAGCCTGAGTTTTTTACATCCTAGCAGGGTCTCTTTGAGTGAGAAGAGGATGTAAAAACAAAAAAACAAGGTGACAGCTCCAGAGGTCAACTGGCAGGTTGCCCTCCTGATGAACCCTTGGTAACATCATCTTCCAGCTCACATCTCATCAGGCTGCTGCTGCTTTGGGCTGGGCGTGTAAAGGCGACCTGCAGGTCGCTGCTGCAGTTTGTTGAACTGCTGCGTCACTGCTGCATGTGTTTGTATTCTGCAGGGGAGCAGAAGCTATCTTTGTCCTTCAGTAAAATCCTGAAGCAAACATCAGAGTGAAAGCAAAAACTGATGATTCAAAACATGAAAAAGTTTTACAGCTGCAGAGATTTTTAAGCCTCATTCATGGAGTGAAACCAGAACCTCAGTGAATCCTTCTTAAGCAGCAGGAAGACACTCCGCTCTGCTCTGATTATTCTGCTCAGGAAGTTAAAAGTGACTCTGAGGACTGAAGGACAAACCTCAAGCTCAGACATTCTCAGCTGTTCCCTGCTGCTGCAGAAATGAGCCCAAACAAAGAACATCTTATAGTTTGGATGTTTCTACACCCCTGAACAGTAGCCAGATGATCAGATGAACCACCTCAGTGGAGCAGCAGTTCTACCCCGAGCTGATCCTCGTGGTCAGAGCTCCTTTCATTATCTCCAAGGCACAGCCTGACCACCCTTCAGCAGAAGCTTTTAATTGGCTGCCTTTATGTTGTCAAAGTGCTTCAAACACCTTCCTGCTACATTTGCAGCAAGTCTCACCAACAGATGTTCTAATGAAAGTTCTGGTGGGAAATGTCCACTAGAGGTCTGCATCCATGTGAAATCTGACATTATTCCCTAAAACTCCAACTTATATTTAAGTAAATCTCAAAGTGCTACATGATAAAACAAGTTCAATGAGATAAAAACACAAAGAGAGCATGAAAACAAGGTAAGGCTGGGTGCGGTGGTGGTGTAGGGGTTAGCACGTGACCACTTATTGAGGCTACAGTCCTCGAAGCGGCTGTCCTGGGTTCAAATCCCAGACATGGCGACCTTTGCCGAATGTCTCCCTCTCTCTTTGCTCCTCTTCCCTGTCTACCTACTACCAAAAATAAAGGCCTCTAGTGCCGAAAAAATATCTTTAAAAAAAAAACAAGGTGAGGCAACAAAACTTCACTGATAGGTTGAGCACCGATGTGTGGTTCCACCAGCTTTGGGAACCAAGCACGAGTCGTCACCAGGGGGCGCTACATAGCGCGGAGACGAGACGGCGGAGATTCCTGAGCTGTTCAACGTTCCTTCTAATGCAGAAAGAGAGCATCCATAAACTACAGTTAATACGGAAAAGGAGACAGTGACTCTGTGCAAGAACAACGGATGGAGAAAGTTCTCATCTGCATATGTTCAGCATCACAGAAACCAGTAGTTATATTGCGGGTGTTTAGTGAGTTTTTACAAACATAAATAATGTTTATACGGTACGTTCTCTGTCTTCACTGCCATACTTGTTGCTTCTATCATCTCCAGCTTCGACCCGCCACGGGTGACGTTCCCAGCGAAGAACTAAATGTTCTGCAGCGGCCGAGTGGAACCAGACTCCATGTTCTGGAACCTCTGTTCGTTGGTGGAAACACTGGTTCTAAATCAAGTTCAGGAAGCCAAACGGGCTCCGAACCGCGTCGATGGAAAAGGAGTATAGGTGTTCAGTTTTAAGATGGAAACTCTAACTGCGGCCAAGTTTGGTGTAAAAAGGTTTTTTCTCTTTCACCTCGGAGGGTTTTGATTATGACACCTCAGAAGCAGAAGATGGACCACAGTGGTAGGGAGTAGGCAATATTCAACTTCTCTGACAGACTGGAGCCATCTGGGGTGGACCATCAAACAGTGGCAACAGGGACTGTAGTCAGATGGAGCCAGGCTCTGTGATGGTAGGAGGTCGTATCATGATATGGGCTTGGATCATTTCCTCTTCTGTTATGGCAGCATTGATGCAGAAAATCCTGCACAGATTTTAGACCAACATCTTCTGCCTTCTGGTCCACATCTTCTCCAGGGACGTCCAATGACAATGGAAACCCACATTCCAAAGGCCTGGCTGAGGAAGAGGAAGGTACAGCTGCTGGGATGCCATGTCTGCAGTCCTGTACATGGGCCTATACTGTTGGACCCCTTCAGATGTTTCTGCAGGAAGAATGGAACAAAACACCTGGAACCCTCAAGATGGATCAGATCTTCAACACTGGAGCAGCCGCTGGGAGACAGAGTCTGAAACTTTTTACAATGTGCTGTTGGAACCTTTTCTGCTCCTCAACAAACCTGAACTGTAAGTGAGCAGAACAGAGGATTATTTATCCTTTGCTGGTTCCCTTTTTGCTGACGTCCAGCACAGCAATCCATCTCCACCCTCAGTAGCTTTATGCTCAGTTCAGTCGGACGTGAAGTAACGGCAGCTCTGTCTGCTGGAAAGAAAATGAGCTGATTCTTGTCTACACATGCTCTTCTCCTCTTCCTCCCACTCTTCCTCACCCTCTCTGTTTGAGACACTGAGCTGCCAGCTTCAGAGCACCCATGTGCATGCTGCAGATATGAGTTGGGCTTTTTGTTGTATTTGTTTAAAACATGATTAGAACCTACCATGATGTAAAGCTCCTGCTAACAGCAAATGGAGCTCTGGGTTCGTGGTTTCTCTGCTTTAGAAGATCCACCAGGCTTTATGACTCTATTTGTGAGATTCTACCTCACTGTGCAGTCATGCAGGTGTCTGTTGGATGATAGCACTGCCGTTTATTCTGGGCTTCTGCTGGAAACCTTCTATAAACACAGATACTCCCAGCTGGAGCTGCAGGAACTTTTCTCAGCTATGTTTGCATGAATCTGAATAATTTCCAGATTATTCTTCATCATCTCTTCCTGATGTTTGTGTGAACATCCTGCAGAGGGAAATCAAAGGATTAAAGGTTGGATCACTTTGATCTGTAGCACGAAACATCCTAAAAGCTCATGGAGAAGCTTGCTTGAAGAGAACCAATGATTTCACAGTGAGCCAGGCTGCAGCCCTGAAACCAACCAGAGCTGATGAAGTTTAACAATCTGATTCTTCACACCAACACAAAGTCTGCCTGGAGACAGCACACAAGAGTTTCTGATTGGCTAATATTCCTACTGATCCTTACTGAGGATGCTGATAACCACCTGGCAGGAAACAGATATGAAACATGTTTGCCTCCAATGTTTCTGCTCTTTCAGAAATGGAACCAGAAACTGCTGGAAGCAGAGCATCTAAACCCGTAGCTCGACCTGGTCCAGGTTCAGATGGACCAGCTGACCCGGCCTGGAATCTGTGAGGGTACCAGAGTTTCTCAGAGACAGTGAAGATGTGATTTATTTCAGACCAGCGCTGGGGACGTCTGGTCCGGATGTCTGAAGTTCTGTGTTCTGGACCCTTCAGACTCAGTTTGATGCTCTGTGGCAGCCTGTCACACAGGATTCTTCTGGATTTGGTGTGAAGCTGAACATTGATCTGACAGACACTGAGCTGTTGACGCTGATCACACCAAGCATCCTCTCTGCTACCTCACTCCTCTCTCTGTTCTTCTCTGCAGCCTCGGTACTCCTTCTGTGACTTTGCTCCACCTCTCACAGCTCCTGCTCCTCCTCATCCTCTGCTGTGTTTGAATAATAATCTGATCTTTCATTGCTTCTGGAGCAAAGGTTTGTTTTGACAGAACCATGATGGTTGAAAATAAATCACCTGATGATCTGACAGGTGTTGTTTCTTTTCCAATAAAAAGCTGAGTGAGTGTTCTTCTCCATTAGATCTTTGATCTTTCCTGATTTCCAGAAGCAGGTGTCTGTTATGTAGCAGCTGGGTCCAATCATCTCAGAACTCTTGAGTTCTTCCAGGTTGTGATGTTGTAAAGAATCTACTGGACTGGAGTTTGGACTGGTTTGAAGCGTGTTGACCTGAACTGGCTGGAAGATTTTGCTTTCTTTCTGAATGTTCAGTTGCTGCAGAAGCTCACATCTAAAATAAATGCAGATGTTGCTCATGATGCTCCTTAGAGCAACTTCTCTATATCTACAATAGTTCTGAGCCTTTTGACGTTCCTCATCAGGGAGATGGGAGCTGCACTGAGGAGCGGCTCTCCTCCCATCTCTGCTTTGGTATCTGTTCTTATTCAGTAAAAACTTAGAGTTTTCTTCTCCAGTGACAGATCAGTTTGATCTAAATGAGGACCACTAAAATACTTCTGGCTATTTTTTCCACTCAGGGTCCAGCTAGCTCAGGTCCAGTAATTGACTTTTCCCTTCCTGCTGACTGGCTGTGGCCCCTGGCAGCATGTCCGGACCCTGGCACTTCGTTTAGATTTTTCTGGCCATTAGAGACAAAGCTTGACAGGAGTTTGAGACGCAACCCCAGAAGGTTTTTGTTTGTCCGTCTGCTCCGTGTTTGTGTCCAGCAGAGGAGAGATGTGTGCTTCCAGGCCACTAGGATGTGAAGAAGCTGCTGCTGGGAGCGTTGGTGTCTTTCCCACAGCAGATGATCCCTTCCTGAGGTGGAATTCCAGAATCAGAGTCAATATTAAATTACATGCAGTTAAACTGGAGGCAGAAACAAAAAACTATCATTATTCCTCCTCTTTATGTTGACCCTGCTGGTTTACACTCCATCCGTCCGTCTGTCCATCCATCCTTTTGTTTATATCTTTAGAATATTTGCTCAGGATCTTCCATGATCTTCCTGCCAGGAAAAACAAGCTCTGGTGTGACAGATCTCTCAGGGCCTCCTGACATTTAGAGGTAGAAGTTATTCCAGAAGAAAAACGAGGTGAGAAGGTAAAATGTTCCCTTGAGTGAAGCTTCTCTCATCCTCAAGCCAGCACCTTGTGAAACGTTTTTCTAACGCTGCTGCATGGCTCATGGCGGTGATGCACACAAAATTCCCAGAGATGAATCACATTCCCTGCAGCTCTGAACATGGGAATGAAATGTGTCAGTTTCTCTCAAATTGCTTCAGATGTTTGATTCTGAGCTAAAAGCCTGAAACACTCTGAGTAGCTTCTGTGTCTCAGCTATAAATACATCAGATCTGATGGTTCAACATGCAGTCTGAACAACTTCTACTGAGGCAGCAGGTCAGAGCAGAACAGGAAAGATGCAACAGCAGGAACAACAAAGTTCTGTTTCTGAAGATGCGTTTACTGACTTCATTTTCAGTAAGTTCTTCTTTCTGTCAAATACATTCAGATTTTCTTTATGCAGAAATAAAAAATAATTTTGAGCCCATTAATCCTTTAGACATTGGCTGCTTTGGCAGATGTTTGTCATTCACTGTTCTTGGTTTCTCTAAGCTTTAGCCCATTTTTCCACCTGAACAGAACAAAACCTTTCCGTCCTGCAGGGTTCAAACTTTCTGTGGAAACATCAATACGCTCCAAACAAGTGAGTGGAGCTTCAAAGTCATTATTTGCTCGTGTTTGTGTCCCAGTTAGGAGGATGGAAGTTGCCCTGACAGGTCAGAGCAGTGGAGCTAAAAGTAGAGTCAGACAGAAGCTGATTAATGGCGTCATTAAAAGAAGAAGAACTGTGTGTAAATGTGCAACAGCTCCATGTTGGATCAATACCGGAGCAGCAGCAGAATGGCCTCTTCGCTGCCTTTCAGGCCTCTCCATAATGCATGTGTTGTAATTACCTGACGTCTGAGAGGAAGATCCTCAGCTGGGCTTCGGGTTTCTTCTGTGTTTAGCAGGATCTGGATTTCTACCAGTTCTTTTCTGGAAAACTGGTCTGAACCTGATAGAGGGCAGATAACTTTATGTGACTGGAGCAAACCACCATTCAGCACAAACCTGCAGATGAATCCAGTGAATATTTGCTCAGATAGCTGGAGTTCTCAGTTAAAACATTAACCAGACACCTCCTCCAGCTACTCCGGGGGGAGCCCAAGGCGTTCCCAGGCCAGCCGAGAGACATAGTTGCATCCAGACCCAGTTATTTTTTACAAATGTTTGCTCTGCAGGCTGCTGAGACATGGTTTCTATGGAGAAATTC